ACCCCAGGGCTGGGGCATCCCCTGAGCTGGGGTCCAGCAACCAGCCACGCAGACGCCGGCTTGGGGCTTAGCCTGGCTTACCCCTTTAGGGAGGGCCGGGACCACCTGGGATGGTGTGTGGGGACCCCCGGGGGCCCAGGAGCGGGGTGGCTTGCCCAAGGTGCTGGGGAGGGGGGAACGGAGCTGGCCAGCTGAGCCGTCACGTCACGTCACGACACGTTTGACGGGCCCAGAAGTGCCTCGTTCACCTGGCATTGCCACGTTCAGGGAACCGACTTATTCCAGGAGGACCGCCTGGAAAGCAAGGTGGCCGCCCTCAGGCTCCCCTGCCCCACGGACAGGAGGTGCCTGCTCTGGGACCCCCTTGGCTTTGGGGGGTGTTTTGGATGTGGGAGGGAAGCGGGGGGGAACTGGCAGCACTGGGGGATTAGACAGGATGGTTCACACAGCGTGGTTGAGGAAGCTGAGCGGGGTTTGGGAGCCTGTCATGGGAACCCCCCCAGGCCTTGGCGCCCGCCGGACGCGTTGGACTCCAGCCCACAAAACGTAAGGGAGCCCTGCCTCGAGGCCAGGGCCCCGCAGGGCCAGCGCCTGCAGCCAGGCGGCCCACGAGGGGAGGCGGGACGACACCCCTTTCCACTCCCGCTTCCCAACAGCTGGAATTAAAGGAGACTGAGCGAAATGCCCGAAAGGCTAGTAGCCGCGGTGGCTCACTCCTCCGCACATCTGTCCATCAAATTCCATAATTTAATTTTGCTTTAGGTAGGACGTCCCTTCGAGTTGAACACCTCTCTCCTGTGTCTCCTTATCTGCCTCTAACCTAAAAAAGACCAAACATTGGACTTCTCCCTCGCAGGGACTGCTCTAGCCCCCGACTCTCTTTAGCAGAGGTGGTTTTTTAAGCTTCTCCAGTTCTGCCCCGTGAGGGGCGACCAGTCCCATCATCCCTGTCCATGGTGACAGGGAGGGCCCCTAGCTGGTGAAGGCAAGAAGGGCATCTGAATTGCACCAAGAAGGGGCCATCGCCGCCTCTGAGAGAGTATTCCAGCTTCCTACTCAGACGGGGCGGCTGCCTGGCCTTTCATTCGCTCAACACTTGTGTGTTGCCCCGAACAATTTAACGTGTTTTGATAAATAGAAGTACACAGGAAAAGTTATTTGGGCAGGCCGTTTGCTCCACTTCTCACAGGGCCAACCAAAAGCTCCCAGAAACCCCACAAGCGATTCCTCTTCTCTGTAATCTTGCTTTAAAATCATTGGAGCCGCTGGTCATTGCCACCTTTTAATAAAAGAACAGGCTTGGTGGTGGTCATGTTTTTTTAAGGGTTTTCCATTCAGAACATTGCTTTAATTCTGCTTATTAGCTGCTGCAAGAGCTTTGTTTGAAGTCTAAAGGCTGGATAGTGGTGAGGAAATCATGGGTCAGCCTGAACATTTTAAGACATTTGTAAAGGATTCTTTTCCAAGCTCGCTGCCATGTGAAAATAGCTGTCCAGATGGACTGACCCCGTTCAAGCCAGTTGGCCGCAAATATGAGCGTTTCTCAACATCCAGGCTAAGACATCCATTTGGAATTTATAGGCCGTGGAAATCAAACGCTGACTCACCCCTCAAAAATGCTGCATGAACTCCGTCCAATCAGAGTTATCTTTTAAAGATTTGTTTTCAAGCTGGGCGGCCATTATACTTGTAAAATGAATTAGGTGTGTGTGTGATTTGTTAACTTACGCTCAGTAATTCATCCAAAACATTTACTACAGAGAAAATGAGGTGGGTGGGAAAGGCAGGAGCAACAAAATACCCTGGCCGACCTCCGAGGACAGTCTTGCAACCTGAGCGAAAGGGCTGGGTCTGCTCAGGGCCGACTGCAGGCTAGGTCCTCGGGGAACTAGAAGCCAGGAAGCGGATTTCTCTATTCCTGCCTCTGTCTCCAACGACCTTGGGCAAAGCACCGCTTCCTCCGGGGCTGTGCCGTTTTGTTTCCCCCACTCTCTCTGCCCCCCCCCCCCCGGGCCGGGGGCGGCTGGACCAACAGGGGTGCCTGGGCGGGCAGGATTGTGTG